TATCATTATTATTATTATCATTATTATTATTATCATTATTATTATTATTATTATTACTATTATTATTATGCTGATGATAATGTATATAATGGTATCGGTATTGAGTAAAGCGCACAACTCTTGCTCACCAACTCCTCGTAATGTAAAAGATTCAGAGATGATTTAATGATAATAATTACTACATAATAAAGATGACGACAACGATGATATCCTATTTAACTTGCTACTTCAACCTTAATTACATAGTTATTTTTTACTAAGCTTTCGACCGGCGCGGTCATCTTTTTTTAAAATTCGAAAAAGTGAATTTTCCTAAAACATATATCTATGTTAAACTGTTCTCTGCTGCGTAGGAGTCTACTAAGTAACACGATATTACGTCGCATAGAGACTGATAATACACCATCTGAAGATAGTGATAACGATGAGGATGAGAAGGAGGACAACAGTCAGTTTATTTACTTCAACATTTATTTCTCAATTCGAAGAAATGAAATTAAAGAGGGTTTTCTTAAAGGATATCGTATTGTTATGGCTAATCCGTGTAAAGGAGGCATGCTACATAGCAAAGGATTACGTCACCATATTCGACAAACCTATGCAGCATACATCTAAGGATGATGACAACGATGATCTAAATTATTGAAAAATATTCCTAAAAACAAAAACATCTATGTTCGCTGAGGCACTTAATCTAGATAAATCTCTTTGCAGCAACTGATAAAGACGACGACAATGATGATGATAACTTTCTCACGTTTATCTTAGCTAAATAAAAGGATATTTCAAAAAAGATATCTATGTTACATTAATTGTGCAACTGTTAAGCTTCTGACTCTCCAATTAAAAGTCAGGACACTAAGCTCTCATACACAACGCAAATATTAGACACAAAATCGATATATGTCAACCCAAACTTTTCCTCCTCTTATTCCTTTAATTAAAGAAATGACTTGTACTTCCATCTTGCCTCCCGTTTTTTCCTTCTTAAATTGGAAAGAAAACGGAGGCAGTCACTGGATGAGGCAAGGAAGGAAGTTCATGTCTTCTGACTCTGTTGAATACGTGCTGTTTATATCAGGTTTGATCAGTCATATTTATCTAGACAGCTAGGATATAACATTAGCAAATATACATCAACTGAACCTCAGTTTTGTTTGATTTGTGATAGACAAAGTAAAAAATATTTGTTTCAACTAGATATGAAAAATAACTCTAACCAGAACAAATTCATTCCCTAAAATAGCTAACGAACTGACACTCCTTAGTAAACAACCTCCAGATTTAATACTATTTGCTTAAATAGATTCAATAATTGACAAGAAAAGAACTAAAAGTGACAATTTCATCCTAAATTGTTTCCAGGATATCCTGAGGCCACGTTGGCTGGAAAAACACAGCTCGAATAAAACGTCTTGAAAAGTGACTGGCATTTGTTGGTAGTAAAGAGATAGCAAGACTAATATTATGTTCTTTTAATCACTTAGCCTAGTTTGAACAGGTTGTGTCAGTCGTAAGGATGAAAAGTTTTTAATTGAAAAAATGATGAGATTATTGCTATAACAATAGATTGAAGAGAGCGATAATTCTTGCAGTACCGGATAACGAACGTACATATCGTACGGAAATTACCACTCCAGAGTGTTTTCACTTTTTATCCTCTTTTTTATTCGACATTTTTATCTCTTTTTTATTTCAAACTTGGGATTGTTTTTCCTAAAAATTTGCCAACCACATATTGTCCTGTTCAGAAACTAGAAACCTAAGTGTATACACCTGTTTCAATAAGTGTTGTCATCGCCAAAGGCCGATAGGCGATATGCGAAGAGCGATAGGTCATTCCAATATCAAAGAATATGAATGACTTGTGTTTCTGCTTCTTATTCTCGTCAAGAACATGGACCTTAGTGTTGAGGCTGAAAAAATGTTCTTTCATATATTCAACGAATTAACCATTACCAAGTCGAAATGACCTATCATCTATCGCCTTTGGCCAAGACTTTTTTTATTGAAATAGGTGTATGTTCTATACATGGACTCGTTATATATCAAAATCGAATTTCCTTGAGATGTTATCACCTGCGACACCTTTTTAGAGTGGGTCAAAGAAGTGCTTATTTTTTGTTAAAGTGAACGTGATATAAAGAATCCCCAGTAACGGTGTTTCACTGATATTGTGATTCATAGTTGAGATTATGAATGAGTTTTTGAGAGTGATATACATCGCATAGTGTTCTCATAGTACGTTCACACTTGTTCCATAATGTTTCCTTTAGTTTTCGTTCCACTTTTTTCATATCGACCCCAGTCAGAGCTAATATAGTACAAAATAATACTAGACATTTTTGGTAATAACTGGATTTGAGATCAAAGCTATATAATGTGTTTCTTCTGTAACTGGCAATCGTTGTGAAAAACATCCGTTTTTGAATGCAATTAGATATTTTAGTTCAAATTACTGCCTAAGGACTGTTTGTTATCAATGGATCAAATTATTGAGCACGCTTATGATCTCCTTCTACACCTTATAAGTATATTTAAAGCTTTAGCACTCGTGGGACACGTTTCCTTGCGTAAATCAATATTGAATTTTAAACTAGGCCACGGCTAAAACTCTCTGACAACCTTCAGGCCTCGAGTATGAGGTCATGCTAGGATCTTGTAGTTAAGTGGGTTTCGTAGTCGTCAGTTTAGCCTGCGTGCCGGCTATGGGGTATTGGGGACGAGGAAAAAGGGAAGGGAGGAGGGGGAGGGGGAGGGGAAAGGGAGAAAGTAGAGCCTGCACTCATCCTTTAATAACTCCTTTTTCCCTTCTTCCTTCCCCCTCCCCCCGCCCTCCTTCCCTTTTCCCTCGCTCCCAATCCCCTATAGCCGCTACGCAGTCTATCTTCAGTTGTTATCCATATTGATTTCTCACGGCTAATCTGATATATAACTATGTCCATTTCAATCTGTTAAAGTTTTTTACTCGGGCCGCTATGTAATACTTGTAAACCTAGGTACTGAACTGTGACCGAACCCCCTAAATAACAATAATAACTGGGCATCCCACAATGTTTTAACGAAACGATAGAATTCAAGATGGCCTCCATATCGGTAAAAAGCTCTAATGATCAAACCCCGTAGATATTAGTAGATATTAAGGCCAGATATCGCTAAACCGCACGCACATCATAAAATACCGATATCTTTAAAAGAGTATAGTATGAAGTATTCTCGAATACTTTCGCTAGGACTTTTGGTTTGTGTTACAGTGATTACTGGCTGGATCGAAAGTTTCTTTCGGGCATTCGTTCATTTATTTTTCTGATTCTTTTTCTGATCTCTTTCCTTACGATTTACGGACATTTATTACGGTGTTTAGGCTTTCTTCATTCATTCATTCAGTGGTGAGTTCATTTCATCATTCATGTTCATTTCCTCATTCATTCATTTATTTATTTATTTTTAGTCATTTATTCTTTCATTGGTGGTTTTCACAGCCTCCATGTTGGATGAATTTAACAAAACCTTCGTCATTAGTTTCTTTTGTTTTATCGTCCAACATGGCCGCCTTGTCTTTTGTTATTTATTACTCTCCTGGGAATGATCAAAAACAAGCAAAACGTTTTTCTCTCTCTTATCTCTTTTTCTCCCTTAGAGTTTATGGGGATATTTATATTATATATATATATCGGATAATAACAAGAATAGTATGTTTACTGCTCGGCTCGTCTATCGATTAACAGGGTTTTATTTGTATAAATAACAACCAAAACAAACCAAGGAAACAGGAAATTGTCGTCGCCTAAAGCCTTGAAAATACTCTTTACTCTTCGCCGAAAAAAAATAAGCTTCGGCATCCACTGGATATAATGTTAAAGTTTGTTAATGGAAAAAGCCTGAGGACTTGGAGGGGGAGGGGGACTAGGAGTGGAGGGGGACCAGGAGGTGAGGGGGACCAGGAGGGGAGGGGGACCAGGAGGGGAGGGGGACCAGGAGGGGAGGGGGACAAGGAAGGGACGGTGTACGTAGAGGAGTTAGTTTGGTAAAACATAAGGGTCGGAGAAAAACCAGTTGAGGGACAAATAATGGACGGTAGAGGAGGAGGGGGGATAAACTTTAGCATCCATTGGAGATACTGTTACATTTTGTTAATGGACAGGACTTGAGGACTATTACACATAGTTACAAATGTTACTAAAAATAAAAGAGTTGGGGGAAAACAAAGGAGGGACAAGGAAGGGACGGTAGAGGAGGAGGGAGGGGAGACAGGGAGGAAGAGTGAGATAGGGGGGAGGGTTGGGTTGAGAAGAGTGACGAAAGGGATAGTAATTCAAGAGGAATGGGCTCTCATTTGGTGAAACCACAGAAAAGAAGGGGAACCAAGGTCGATAAGGTCCATGGTCAGAGGAATAGGAAATAGCCATAATGAGAACGGTGACTGGCCGCAATTATCATAAACATTCCTCTTAATTAAGGCGGCAAATGTTTACCAAAATCTAATCGGAACTATTGGCCTTAAGCAAACTTATTTAGTTAAGAGTTTCACTGATTATTGTATACTTAAACAACCAAAAAAGTATGTTACTGATGAATCAAAAGGCCGTGATTATGATTTACCTTGTTCGGACTAGATCTAGACGTGCATTGAACCTCATCAGAAGTGGCTCGTATTCAGGTCTAAATCATCCCTTTTAATTCAGAGGGACTTTTTCTAAACACTTAAGCCACTGACTATTAGCTAGATATAGTCATATCACAGATAATCCGTCTTGAAAAGTTACTATGTTTATATTAACCTTGGCTTTTTTTCTGAGTCAACGTAAACTGCGTCAGGCTTAGATAGTGTTCGCCGAATAATTGTGTCCAACAATAAAAGTGCACACCAATATAATAGTGTCCAACAATAAAAGTGCACACCAATAAGTGTCCAACAATAAAAGTGCACACCAATAATAGTGTCCAACAATAAAAGTGCACACCAA